TATTGAAAAGCAAACACAAACATTGGTCGTAATTATAATTACATCACTGAATTGTTAAAAAGAACAGCGAATATTTACTAATAATTAAATTTGTTACTGGTTTTATATTAAATAGTCCAAGTCTCGAATTCAAAACGCGTAGTTATTAATTTCCGCGTGAATTGTAACGCTATATGCTGCCATTTCCGGCTATACATTACAATTGTAATATCCGTCCTCGTATTACGTCACAGTGAAATTCTAACGATATACCTGGTTATATTATAACCATTAAAATCATGTTGCTTGTAAATAACGTATATATTCCTTTATATTCTGTCCATAATTTTTAAATATTACTTTTATAAGGTTTATTTTCGCCCTTTTTCAATTTACATCCTTAACACGTTTTTAATATGCACGGAACATGAGATTTACCATGTATTATTGGACATACGAGCCAAATTCTATGCAAATGGCTATTTGTGCTCGTTAAATACGGTTATATTTGAGATAAAATTCTTTGTTAAGTTCTCGTAATTCCATGAATTTCAATTCAAACACGAGCACATCATTCTATTTAATACGTGGACTGTCGTAGTCTTTTAGGACGAAATAACTCAGCCATGAAATAGCTTATTTCATTTTCTCGCGAATAAATATTAATTCTCTGATGCATACTAAGTTTTTCGATGACGGATCTTCTTTGAATTCGCTCGTAGTTGGCAGTGAACGTAATAAATTACCGTGAAAATGCAGCTCAACTTTCTACGTGTAATCTTTTTCAATTTTGAATTCAGAAATCACATTCTTCGGCCGCGATTATGGTATTGTACAACGTGATCTTGGTTTAAGTATTCCATCCAGAGCGCGCTTTATCGCGGAAAGTGCTCAGCGTATGGTATACTCGAGCACTTGAAAATTATGGATGCCAATACAGTCGTGCGGTTCCAAGGAACGTCGTGTATGAAAATCACACGGAAAACGTCGTTGCAAGGAGTGCTTACTTTATATACAGAAAGTCGGCTGGAATTCAGAATGGCTGGGAAACGTACAGCTCGTTAAAGTTAAATGCTTCAAGGAGGGTGAGAAAGAAATAATAGTACGGTCCGTGGGGTAGTTAAGATTAAACAATGTTACAAATGGTCTCTTTAAAAAGAAATATTAATATAATTTGAAGGCTTACGAATCTCTTTAAACGCGACAAACAATATTCTTGACGAAAGGTTTAGAGTTATATCAAAATATTACGAAGAGTTTTATTCTTGTCAAAAATCACCCATGAGTTAGAATATTTATTTAAATATCACGATATTAATGCTTAAATCTTAACTGTTGTTCCGTAATATTTTCTCTGTTATTTTTTTTTCTGTACTATTCAGCATTATTATCTTCTTTTTATTAGGATTTTCATGCAAAGACGAATAACTTTCATGATATTTTTACGTTTAGGTTTGTATATATTTTTAGCACGCTTTGTTGCTTCTGTCGTTTGACATTCTCCCAACTTGAGCCTCCTTCTTTTGACATTTTTCCACACGATCGTGAAAGTGGTCCCAACTTCTTCTCCGAGAAGTCATTTATTATTCTTCACTTGTTTACTCAACGTAGCAGTCGAAATGCCTAAGACCTTACATGCTGCATTCGCACTCATTCTGCAAAAGGGTTTCTTTTACCCACAACCTTCTACATTTATTATAGTTTCTTTTATATTCTGCACGACTATGCATACTTTCACTATGGGCCATGCCTGAAAAACTGAACCATCTTGTTTCTTCGATAATGGTATAATTACACGAATATAAACATAATTATTATATAACAAATACTGGCCTAGTATTAGCCCACTGTATTCAGAAGAAGTAATTATCGTTTACCAAAAAATAAAATGCAGTGAGCTGAAACAGTATTTATATTTGTATAATTATATGTTTCAAAAAAACAAGATGGCTCAGTCTTTCAGGAGATGATCGACCCATTATGAAAGTATGCATAATGACATTTTGCATAGTCGTACCAAGTATAAAGGGAAGTGTAATAAATGTAGAAGATCGTGGACTCTGGTTGGAGGATTCTGTTTGAGGAACAATCGATTCGAACGAGCTTGGAATGAACATTTCGCGGAGCGACTCTTATTATATCGAAAATGACGGAAATATGCAATCTTCTTGTGCTCGGGTTATTGCAAATTCTTGTATAAATACGTCCCGACATGGCATAAAATCAACGCGCACCCATCGCTGTTCTCCACTTTCTCGCCTTGGGGGTTCGCTCCGGGCGCAACCTTCGTGAAAATCTAAACTCCCACAACGCCGAACTTCCGGTTCAACTGTCGTTTGGAGCTGACTCCACGTGTGGGAGAACTTGATTAGCTTCGCGATAGTAACTTGGGCGATAACAAATGTCTCGCTGTAACCGTACACTTGTATCCGTGTTTAGCCATGAATGATCCTTTCGCCTTGTCTAGGAATCTGGTACTCTAAGTGTTTTAACATTTTCTAAAGAAATTAGGAGAATCTGACAAATACTGGAAATAATTTTGACGATGAGAAGACGTTTACTGTGTTTTTTAAAGCACTAACGATTTGTTTCGTTTATAATATTTGTATAAAAATTAAATAAATGTAGTATCTCCTTCGTTAAAAAATATTATTAATTGAAAACGAAGTAGAAGCTCGTTTAAAACATAAAACATAATGCATTGCGTCAGGAATTATTCACTTCGACATTTCCATTCGAACAAATACGCATCTTGTATAACTTTCGTCTTTCTTACAACGAGAACTCGTTTCCTCAAAAGTCAGATTAATTAAACATCGACTGAGCTGCGTAAACTACCTTGTTAGTTTATTGTTTATCCTCGAGATCAGTGTACCGAAATGCTTGAAGCACAATACCAACTTATTCATTAAATTCCGTTACTTCCTGTAAACTGAATGTCAGAGGATACAGTCGAGGGAATGGTAACAGATAACGAAGAGATAAGTTTGCCTTCTTTTTGCGTTACCATCGTCATTTTTCTCTAAATGATGAAAGTTTGATTATACAATTTTCAGTAACTCTGTTGCAATGATGTCTTTGATACTTTTAATAATACGTGAAAGTGCCTAAGGGGGAAAAGTATTTTTTATATTAAATGAAATACCCCACATTTTCCTTGATCAAAGTCATCCCGTTTAAAGAAATAATCATGGCTTTGAAATCTTGAATATATATTAGTTGAACAATTTTTTTTCAGCCAACAGAAATCATGAGTATAATGTATTCAATTATGAATCAATAATTCTGAAAATGTAATGGAAATAATGTGCTACGGTAGGTATAAGTACCGCGAATTCATAAATGATATCTTAATTAATCTTCTAACGAGCGTGGTACGGCGTAAATATAGCTTTCACGTAAGTTATAATCGTTAATTAGTTGCTGTCGCGAAATCTGATCTATTTTGACGAACATGGACCAACACGAACATAAATTATGATTGATAGCGTTGATAGAGTGTCCCTGGAAATTATATGGGATTCAGGCCTCATCGATTACTATCAAAAGATCGACGACAATGCAATTAAACTTTCCTACAATTTTTCTCTTAAACGTGGACCAACAGAAACGAACAACATCAATTTTTCATCACTCCGAGAAGGTAGTGCATTAAACTCATCGATAACGTATATGTCGTGCAAAAGTTGAAGCAATTAATATATCTAACTCTGTAACCGATATCTTGGAACTTCTATTATCGAAATTTGCTTCAGTTATTGGTAAAAGTTTGAGTATTAAAGTTGGTAGGGACACTCGGAATACACAGTTCTCTGCGTATCATATAATGCAACACCACGATGCATTATAATTTCAGGACAAACTTCATCTAAAAAAATGTCAAGTAATATTTTTAATATTATTATAAAAAAATAGTTGAATGCCTGAACGTAAATGTTTTCAAAATTTGAAGCGTTTTAGACTATTTTATAGTCGACAGTCGAGGATGAGTAAAATTCTTATCTAGGTAAAAATGTCGATTACCTAATAAAAGATTAACAACCGCTTATCCGTTACTCGTCAAATACAAATATAAATTTAATTCGTGGATTTACATATTTCACGACAGATAAAAATTTCACAGTTCGATCGAACAACTGTCACAGATAAATCATTATACTTTGGTTTCACTATTTATATTCGAATAAAATGCTGACCCATTGTATGGATATCTATAAATCAAGATTTTTATTTAATTTTGATAATACGATGTTTCGTTAAAACTCTGTAGCACGATACTTTTCGAATTTCCCTATGCATTTTCACATGAACAAAAAGATTCCATCGGGGTACGATAGCCTCTGATTCACATTTGGACCTTTCATTTGCAGAACGAGGACATTAAGTAATTAAACTGTCCAGAACACAGAGAAATTTCAGCTGTCTACATCTGATATCTTTGTATCCAGCTACCTACAATGTAATCAGTTTTACGAGTTTATTTAACCTCGACCACGGTAACATAGAACATTAGGAACATTGTGAGGACTGAACGTAACAAAGGAATCTGATGACGAATATTGGAGCCATGACCAATAAAAGAATCCAGATCTTGTAAGTTATAATTCGTCTTTTCTTCTTTCTAAATTTCCATCAATGCAATTTATAATAAATTTAAGAATTTGGCGAAATTATTCTTCTCAGCCTAAGTAGAAAATTCCTTCGTAGAAGAAAACCCTTTCTTCCAGCTCTTTCCAGTTCCCTAACAGTACTATTGCAAGCTTCCTCATTTAGAGTAACTCATCCAAGACCTGTAACTATATTCCCAACAGTCGTTATTAATGTTGAACATGCTATTATGAATTTAAAACTCGTTCCGTGCCAATCAATTCCTCGGTTTGCAATACGTCCCCCCTTCCCTGGGAGTGGTGCTATGGCGGACAGTGGTCTTACACGGTTGAAAGCCATAATTAATACCGTGTAGTATCCGGGACTGGCTGATCCTATGTGTGTTGTAGGTTTTGGTAGAAACGCAGCATTACCTAGAACAGTGACGTTAGTGACGAGCATCCTCGGGGGGTGCGTGTTTACTTGACAGACGTATAATCCACGGTCCTCCCTTCGCACCCTGGCGATCGCCAGTCTCCAGTTGTTTGGGTATTGGAAGCTGACGCTGTACCTGGGATCGGAAATGTGAGTGGTATTACCCAGGGTTAAAAGGGATGCCCAGTCGGCGTTGCGGCGTAACCACATGACCTATAATCGTGATACACAGATTCTACAGTTGCATGCGATTCTGCATAACGATGCGTGTAGTTAGAATGTTTGGGGGAGGGGTTGAATCGGTGTGCATTAAGAGACGCTAATTGCATCGCAACGCGGCGTTATACATTTAGGATGCCCGGTGTCAGTTGATACATACGCTTCTCCCTTGCTACCAGACCTTTTCAATTATCTGCTTTACACGCGCCTTGACAGTTCACTGCTGCTCTTGACTCGTAACATTTTGAAATGTTTCTAATCCCAAGCTACGACTTCGGTTGCATTATTATACACGATAGTTGCAAGGTTGCATTGAAACAAAGACAGCATTTAAATATTAATACGTTTACTGTATTTCGAATCGAATATTTGCGATGTGTAAGTGCGGGTGGAGTACGTTAATAGGTGTTTGTAATTGCTCGAAGTAATTAGAGGTTTATCTATTCGAACAGTCTTTATCTTGTTTAAAGAAATTTTTTCGTTCTTTATGTAATAGTATCTCCGTTACCAGAACTAATAAAACGAAATAAAATAAATATATAGTGGTACGTCTTCGTCACAATTATTACTGGGTTCACCTATGCACGTGGCTGTAATTTCCAATATTTTTGAATTTCTTTAGACAAATGTATTCGGTTATTATAATCTTCGAAATTTACTTTAACATTCCACTAACTTCGCCAGTGTCAGTTTTGTTTAAGGGTGCTTTTTTTAGTAATTTCGTGTAGCTGAAAGAAAATGAACACTGTGTATATACACGTAGAGTGTCCTAATGGAGGTATGCTATTAGGATAGTAGAACGTTCACGCGAGAGAATGTTTAGATAATAGAATGCTCGTAAACAAGTATTCTGGTAAAGGAGAGCATGTTGTATTTAGTTTCTACCATAGAATCTAATATTATTAGACTTTCGTCGATAGAAATCCTCCAGTTTCAGCAGTGTATATACTTTTATAGACACGGATTAATCATACCTTCTTTCCAGCGAGCATCGCGACACGACAATCGAGGAGAGCCGTTGCACCAAGATGCAATGCCACGTTTTGGGACCCATTGATACCCTGACCTTCCGCATTTTCGAAATAGGGGTCCCAATCCGTCACTCGATGGTGTCTCAAGCGAGGTATTCGAAGAGGTGGCAGGTTAGCGATTATTTCCTCTGTAACAAATCGATTAACACATGGTAGGCACACGTATCCCCATTTTACTCGCTTAAATTGAATAATAATAACCAATAAAACTCAACCTTCGTTTCAATTGTGTTATTAAAAACTTTTATTCTTAGAGCAATCGTCTTCAGAATCTGTGTTTTAACTACTTTGCCATTGTATCGTGTTTTTCGAAATCTCAATAGTAAAATATTAGTATAGGGATTTTTAAATAATTTAGGATAGTCAGAGTAAATGGATATAAGATTGTTCTATAGAAATAATTTTCGATTCCTAGATAAAGGTGACTCAAAATGAATAAAAATAGTGATCATTATTAAGATATTAGTACCTATAGAAACACATTTAATTAAATAGTACCATTCTATAAATTTCTCATGAGGGACATCTAATTTGGTACTGCGGATGCAATAAAGCATGTTTATTTCTGAATTAAAATGGGTCTTGGTTTATCCGAACAGGACGCATTCTTCGTCGTTTAATTTGAATAAAGCAACCATAAATTTACTGCGCTGCCCGTGCCCCGATTATATTGTATCTTCTTAATGATAGGAGAATTTCATCCTCCCCAAGGCGGGGTATAAAACGGGAATAAAATAAAACCCCGATTCTAATTCCTCTAAGGGTACAATTTCGCCAAGATTTTCCCGTAAGCTGCAGGCATCCGTCTTTCATGGCGGCGTTGTAATAGGATTCTCACGGATGCGTCGAGCTTGTATAGGGAAACGCTAAAAATGCGAGGAAGGCGTCGGAGTAAATTGCTCTCCCACTCCATGAATCATTCCGTGATCGTTGATTTATCAGCCGGTGCACCGGTTTGCTAACAATACTATTTGCCATGGCGTAAATCACGGGAACACTTTGTCATACCATTATCAAAGGTATCCATTTCGAACCACGAAGCTGGCAAACACTTTTAGTATACTGGTCAAAACAGATTATTTGTCTTATTTAAACTGTCTAGAAATTACACGATATCAGAGACATCTCACTTAACGAAATAATTAATTTCGACGATAAATTATTTTTCAGTTTAATTCGGTAGGAATATTTTAATGGAAATAGTATATAATACAAAATATACAGGCAACTTTAACAATTCTATCTATACTGTATTATATGTTATAAAATTTTGTCGCGTTGCGAATTAATAAGCTTGAATAAAAATTTTTACACGTTTTACGATCCAGTGATCGAACGATACTGCAAGTATATTTGCCTCTCGTGTGATTTCGGTTATTTTTAAATAAATAAGAACAACTATTCCGGTCATCGAGTGGACCATTGTCGAGCCAATGCTCCGAGCAATATCCACCGTAGCAAGAGAAGCGGAAAAGTAAAATTCTTGGAACGCTTGAAATTGTTCGTCGAAAGGTTCGATGAGATTTACTCGCAGACATGGAGAAGCATCACAGTTTGTGGTACCTAGAACGCGAAGAATTTATCGATACAGACACTAACCTTATCCGTCAATAGTATCGGTTTCACGCTGACACCGTCAGAAATTTTTATTTCAATTTATTAAACCTTCAACGCTCCACAGTTTATTTTAGCATTGTATATAATTCGCCTGTATTTTCATTCGATTAATATTTATATAAAATCTTAATTTAATCTTTTCGATGTTATTGTTCGAGAAAATTTAACGCGTTTATTGCTCGAACTGCTACAGTTTGTTAAAATATTTGTTAATTCTGATCTTATTTGTTACATCAAATACGTATACCCTGGAAATGAACAGATCGCCGGAAATGTACATACGTATTTAGTGTATCAAATTTAACGCAAATATGTACACCATTTCGTGTTTAAGCACTTTCCTATACAAATATCATTAAATCTCGATATCCGATATTTGTGCATAGACAATACAATTTATCTCTAATTTATTTATGCATAGACAATATAATTCATCGACCCGTATTGTTCTGTTTAACGTCATTATTAAATTATATTTCAATACGTTATATAAATGTTATATTTGTATAAAAATTTCTAAACAAAAGGCAGCAATTTGTCCTGTTAAAATTTTTACTTGGAACAGACTCGCTTTCCTGATAATTATACTCTCCTCGAACAGCACTGATTTATTTTTTCATGAAACCAATTATTTCTATGTTTATTTCAATCAATTCCTCGACGTCTGTTGTGCCAAAAATAAATCTTGCGCTACTGGAAACGTAAAACTCTATTTCCCGTATATAAGAAAAAAGCAATTTATTCGAGATTCATCGGAAAGAAACTCTGCTTCGTTCTTTGTTCGTTTATTGCTTTTTCGACGTACGTTATTTAAAAATAAATGGACTCGATATTTTTGTTTCACTTTTCGAGGATTTATTTAAAGTTATTTGACTTTTTTTTTTTTTAAACGTTGTGTACATTCTCCTGTAAAACTGTAAACGAATTTCCTACCAATCTCACTTTTTGGAGCCTGTCAATTTTCCATATTTTTTATAAAATTCAACGCACATATAGCCGATAACTTTATTTTCGATCAGTTGTGTCATTCTTTTAAGTTTTTTATTTTCAAATAGCGTCTCCGATTGGTCATAGTCAATGTGATAAAATTTAATAAATAAATTTGGGAACAGAAATCTATTAAATTAATTTCTTTTTACGTTTTTTTATATTTAATTCTGACGTCTATAAGCGAGAATATTTAAAAAGGGTCTAACTTGATAGAAATGTGGAGGTTAAATATGAAACTACAAAATTAGCCTCAACGTACAGTACTGCTCGATGTGAATGGATATGAATTATAAATCTGACATAGATTAAAATTTGATATTTAAAAATTTATTTGAGTAACCAAATTCGTCTTTTTTTTTATTCAAACGAACCTATCTGGTGACTTGTTTAGAAAGCAATTAAATTTATTTCGAAACTCGTTTGGCTGTTAACATTTTGACCAGTTGGTAAATATTATAATAACGTGAAAAAATACTGAAAAATTACGGATTTCCAACTGTGCCTTTTTTAAATATAAATAGAAACATATATGCTCGTACATTTTACGATATTCGTAAACACAAATTTAGCTCGAATGTTTGATCGGTATGGGAAAGAAAAATGAAAATAACGCGCATTAAACGTGTAATATTTCAATGATCCGTTAATCAAATATTTTCACGATCCAATTTAACAGTAGACGCTCGCGTCGCTTCGGCTGATCGACTTTCTTGTTTCTTCAATCAGCAACGAGACACCTTTGTGACCGAGATCGAATCACCGGCGTCAAACGATCGATTTCGCTGACAGGCGTTGTCGCTGGAGGGTGGATTTGCTTCTTCGACTATTCAAACGCAATCGTTTTCCACTCGATGCGGCGCAACGTTCGACGCTAAAACGTGACAAAGCGCAGGAACGTCGAAATTCCGGAACAATCGGGTGTACGGTCTTGGAAAGATGAAAGAGTATCGAATTCAGCGACAATTTTCTTCCCGGAAAACGTATCGCGGGTGGGGGAGGAAAAACAAAGAACCGTTTAAAAGAGAAAACGAATTGCTGGGGGGGAAAAAGCATCGACGCGAAGTATAGTTCCGTATCGTAATTATCTGGTTCGATCTTTTTTTTTCTTTTAATTATTAAATAATACCCGTAATATTCACGAACGACTCGTTTCGCGAATTCGAGCAAAGGAAAGTACACAAAGTAACCTGGAACCCGGAGAGAAGAAATTGGAAAAAATTACAAGAAGCTGGTGTAAGACTTTCGCCACTCAACCTTTCGACCTTTCGCGATAGAATTTTCGCGCGGATTTAATTTCGAATTATAATTATGTGTGGGTAATTGGGCGTGAGTTGTGGGAATTAAAGGGAAGGAAACGAAATTCTGTTTTTAGGCAAAACGTTCTGAAATATGTACCGCCATACATTTTTAAAAATAATTATGTGGCGGCCAAGGCACCACATACGCCTTAGCCGTTCGAAGCCGCTACAATGTATGGTTGCACACGAGACGATGGTTGCACACGAGACGATGGTTGCACACGAGACGATGGTTGCACACGAGACGACCAGAGCCGCGTGAGCCGAAAAGCCGTTGTCGTCGTCTCTGACCGTCTTTTGTTTTTGAAGGCCTCTTGGTACGGTGGCGATGATCGTACCAGAGAGTCGAGCGTAACCCGCACCACGAGTCACGTCGTTGTACGACAGCAACAATAAAATTGTGCGGAACGGAACAGAGCGGAGTCATTATCTTCCCGATCCCACATTGGTGACCCCGACGTGATCTCGCCGCGCAAGTAAAGTTTTTTTAAGAAAATTTGGACATTTTTTGTATACGGACAATATTAGTTAGTGTAGAGAAATAAGTGTATAGTGTTAAGAACATAAGGAAAGGACACGGTCTGACAAATAGTAGGCGCGGTGTGTGTGTGCGGTGAAATTAATCTTTTGTGACCAAGACTGGTAAAATGACTGACCCTACCGTTAACGCGGGACATCCGGGAGTGTGCCGTTGGCAGTTGATCGCGTCGCTGTACGAATACCCGAGTTTTGTCCGGGAGACCCGGAGATGTGGTTTTCGATGGTAGAGAGAAGTTTTGAGGTATCCAATGTAACGTCGGAGACCACGAAATTCGGGTACATTCTCGGCGCGTTAAGTGCGCGACACGCCGCGGAAGTAAGAGACATTATCATGAATCCTCCGGCCACGGATCCGTACACGACGCTCAAAAATGAGTTTATTCGCCGGCTTAGTGCTTCGCAGGAACAGAAAACGCGACGGTTATTGGAACACGAGGAAATCGGGGACAGAAAACCGTCCCAATTTCTTCGTCACCTGCACGGATTGGCCGGTACGGCTTTTTCGGACGGTGTATTGCGGACGCTTTGGATGGGCCGACTACCTGCTAATATGCAGGTGATTTTATCCACGCAGCGGGACACCCCGCTGGATAAGGTAGCAGAGTTGGCAGACGCTGTCGCGGATACGATGACACCGCGGGTACACGTCACGGAGGCCGCGACTACGGGCGTATCTGCATCCT